TGCTGCAGGTCTTGCCCCATTCCCTCCTCTCCCCTGTTGTTCTGTGCCTGGCCCTGCTCCACCCCACCACCACTCTGGGGCTGGCCCTGCTCCTGTTACACAGATAGCAGATCTGAATATAAGAGCTGGAGCGGGGTGAACAGATGCGTCTGTGCTCTGATGAAACAGCAGTAGAGAAAGAGACTTACCCCACTCCAGCTGTTATCTTTAAATCTGCTATCTTCAAATCATCATCTACTTAATACGCCTGGGTTGGCCACCCTGGGCTGATATTGAGCAACTATATATGTGGATGAAATGGTTGTTTTGTGTATGTGTATGCCTGTGTGTAATGATGTGTATGATGATTTGTGTGTATTTGTATGAATGGTCTGCCTGAACCTCTATGTCTAACTCATGTGATCAGTAAATGTGGCACCTTGCCTTATCCCCCTTTATAAAGTCTTGCTCATGATTTGAGCAACTGGGAATTTGTGTAACACTCCAACACCAATCTCTCCCGCCACTTTGGGTCCAGCCCCGCTCCACCCCTACTCCTCCCCCCTCCCCACTCTGCATCCGGCCTTGTTCCACCACCCTGCTCTGCATCCACCTGCTCTGCGTCCGCCTTCCTCCCTGTCCACTGTCTCCCCCTTTCTGCCGGCTGTTCTGGCACCACACTGCCACCACCATGATCCCCGCTTCACCCTCAGGCAGGGAGGTAGGGGGAAGCCCCACTGCTCAGGTGGCCAGGGCACGTTCCCCACCACTGAACTTCCCCGGCAGTGGTGCAAACTTGAGCCCATGCAGCCCAGGCTGCTCAGCCAATCATGCGCAGTTGCCCAAAGGCATTGCGGACAGACAGACACACTAAACCTTTTATTATATTAGAATACTGTGCTATGTTACATATAATATATATCATACCATATGTATTATAAATATATATGACAATGTAGCGTATTCTACTGTATTATAACAGAGTATTCTTGGGTGTATGTTAAACAGCACTGAAATCTGGGATTGCTTTGGTCAGGTGTCAGTGATATTAAAGGGCTCCTATACACATGCAGGGAGCCTGCTTTGATGTGCTGTAATTCCAGTGTGTCAGAGCAGACTTGATTAATTGAATCTGCTGAAGGGTGGAAATTACAGTGTTTTAAAGCTCATTTGATGAGCTTTAATTCAAAGCACCCCACTGCTATTTTTCAGCGTGGGAACGCTGATACATATGATGCTCCAAGTGCTTTTAATTAGCATGGCTCTTGGAGAGGGGTGGTGCATGACTGTGGGGTGTGATGTGGGGACTGGCCACGGCATGGGGAGCAGCTGCCAGCTTCAGCCATGTGGCATGGAGAATGCCCCGGGGTGTGGTGCAGGGTGCACGGGGGTGTCGTAACACATGGCTGCATGTTGCATGGCCACGGGGCATGGCACAGGGGAGTGGCCATGGCACAGGGAGCACCCGATGGCTATGGCCGCGTGGCCGAGCAGCCCTGGGGTGTGGCAAAGGGCACATGGAGGGAGGGTGCTTGGAGCAGGGCATGGCATGGGGAGAGGTCATGGCAGGGGGAGCACCCACCAGCTGTGGCCACATGGCATGGGGTGCACCCTGGGGGTGTATCACAGGGTGCGTGGGGGTATGGTGCGTGGCCATGGGGCATGACATGGGGAGCATCCATGGTGTGGGGAGTGCCCACTGTCTGCAGCTGTGTGGCGTGGGGCACAGCCCTGGGGTGTGGTGCAGGGAATGCAATGGCAAGGTGTGTGGCATGCAACCACAGGGTGCCATGTGGGAAGTAGGCATGGGGGACATGGCCTGACCCCTGGCTGCGTCCTACTGCTGTGCCCCCCTGTGCCTACTCCCCTCATGGCACCCTGTGGCCACGCGCCTGCATGCCATGTTCTCCCCCAACACACACCCTGCATGCCCCGTGGCCGCAGCTGGCAGGTGCTCCATGTGCAGGGGGACATGGCACATGGCCATGTGGGGGGGTATGGTGCATGGGGATTATGGTGCACCGGCGGCCCCGCCCCATGGCCGCATGCTACCAAAAGTGAGCACTGCCTTCACCCCTCTGCCCTCTCCCCTTGTAGCACCATGTGGCTATGCGCAAGGCCCCCCATCCCATGGAGGTGCATCCTCCACGCCGGCTCTGCTTGTGGCACCCTGCAGCCACGCATGCCAGAGCCTTCCTGTATGCCATGCTCCCCCCTCATGTATGCCCTGTGCACCGTGTGGCTGCAACCAGTGGGCACTCCCTGTGCCAGGGAGCATAACTTATGGCTGCATGGGGGGGGGGGGGGGG